TCGTCTTGGCAACCTGGTGACGTACGTTCGCACCTACCTCCATGTGGTTTTCCAGTCTTGACCCCCCCTCCCCCCTTAGGTTCCCGTTCACCCTGAGCCAGCGAAAACCCTGCATATCGTACCCTGCCGGCATCGTAGGGACGCGGGGTCAATGGTCTAACGACTACGGCATGCGTGTTCATGAGTGCACCCCCCCTTCCCACTCCCCAATGAAATCAACACAAAACACATGCGGCTCGTAAATGCTGCATGTTTTCATCCACGTTTGACCCCCCCCCCCCCCCCCCNTGGTCCGGTGAGAACCCGGCGTGCTCCGTCCCGGCTTTGTAGGGATGCGAGGTCAATGGTCTAACGACTACGGCATGCACGACTATGAGTACACCCCCCCCGCCACGAAATCTATCAACACAAAACACAAATCAGGCGAGGATACGGCTTCGCGAACCACGTGACGGGATATAACCTGGACATGGACGGTCAGGAAGGGTTTAGCGTCATCAAGTACGGCTCGGACGACGAGTACCGGCCGCACTGCGACGGCGACTGCACGGGGACGGAATTCCGACCAGGCGGGCGTGTGGCCACCATGGTAAGTAGACCGCTGGGGGCAGGGAAGCGTTTCACTTGTCACGTGGGGGGAGCGAGTTGGGGGGACACCGTGAGGTGGTTTTCCCGTGGCCGGTGATGTGCGATTGAGAAGATGGGGGAGTTGTACTCATAGCCGTGCATGCCGTATTCGTTAGACCGTTGACCTCGCAGGTGGGGGGGGGGGGGGGAAGGGGGGGTAGCTCATGATCACGCATGCCTGTGGTCTTGATGCCAGAGATTTGCATCGCTGCAAAGCCGAGACGGGTAACGTCAGGGGCCTTCTCGGAAGAGGGGGGGGGAGGAAGGGGGGGGCTTCTGATGAAGCGAGGAGGTTCGTTGCCACCGCGGTGAAGGCTAGAATCGAGCTTGCTTCATGGGGGGCGTACTCATTTGGTTGCCTGTGTCGCTTGCCATGGACCGCGCAGCCGTTTCGAGACCCCGTGCTGTGTGTGTCCCCTCCGTTTCCCGTTGCTTGTGTTGCAAACACCTCCAACACTTTTGTGGCCTCTTGGATGTTATTGTTGGGAAGAGCGGTGTTCGCTTTTGTTGCGAGTATTTTTTTCAAGCCTTGCAGTTGTGTGTGTTTACCTCTTGCTCAACGTGTGTCCCATGAAGGTGGGAGCGATGATGCTTTCGGTGCTCATGCTGTCCCGCGCAGCAGTAGATCACGAAGTGCGCGTACCCTATTGACATGCGACCCTAGGTAATCTACTGCGAGCAAGCTACCGTAGGGGGAGGGACGACCTTCAGCTCCTCGGACGTCTTCATCAACGGCAAGAAAGGACAGGTGAGTCGAAGGAACCTAACCTTAATCTTCATGGTGTCGTCTCTGTGGTCTGCCGAATCTATGACTTCATGTAGTTGCTGGTAAAGGTATTTGTAGCGTGTGCTCCATTGACCGTCACTTCTCGTCGCTAGTGGATCGAGTATGAAGGAGCAGCGACCTCTTGCGGATGGGTGCGACCCGCCTTTACGAGGAAGGCCTACCCATGCAACAACACCAGTCGCGGCGGCCACGGCCGTTGCGACCTCTACAGAAGATTTGTTCGATGGCGCACCCTCTACACGCGGCCGGGATGTGGCCGGCGTCCGTTCGGTTCTCCCAGAGTCTCCTCTCCGAACGCGTCGATTGTAGCAAGTGTTGTTGAAGTCGAGTAGATAATGTTGTGCGGGGTGGATAACCCTCACTCCGCGCAAGGGGGATGATCGCACCACGTTGTGTTTAAATGGTCAAGCACCCTCGAGGCAGTTGCACAGTGTTTACAACTGTCTCAGGAAGTGAAAGCACCAGAAAGTAAATTAAGTCATACGCAGCTTTCATCCGTACGCAAGGAAGTAAGCACAAGATGCCGAACACCCTTAGCAGGATGCAGCGCACCCTTCATGCGACTCGCCGAATACCTCACGGCGCTTCGCGCTTGGTGATGTGAGAGCCTGGTCCGGTGAGAACCCGGCGTGCTCCGTCCCGGCTTTGTAGGGATGCGAGGTCAATGGTCTANTACTATGCGCGTACCCCTCTCTCACCTTGCAGGCAGCGTTCTTCTCGTACCTTGGGCCCGACAACAAGACCGACAAGGGCCGGACTCGTCATTCCGGCTGCCCAATCATCGAGGGCACCAAGTGGATCGCCACGCTGTGGATGAGGATGGGGGTCACCGCCGAGAAGTCTTGGCAGTACTACGACCCTTCGGGGCTGCCCTCTGCGTGAGTCGACTGCAGAGAAGACACTGCTATGGAGCCCGCCCTGTTGTAAGAACTGGGCACTTGGAGACTCGTGCTCAACATTCTGCCAACCTTGAGCACCGTTTTGTGAGCCCACTTAAGAACGCCCACCCGGAAGGATATCTATGTAGCGGGTCTTTGGGAACCGTGGCCTCCTCCAAAACTAGAGGTCCTGAAGTGTGGGCGCTATCCGTGCAGCAGCAGCAGTAGCAGCGCCGGGAGTTTATGTTATTGAAAGCTCTCGCCCGAAAGAACACCGGCGACGTTTTGTTTCACGTTCCCCCGCTCTCTCTCTAGTGCTCTTAGCGGTGTAGCCACGAGATCGCGCTCGAACAAGGTGAACAGACCGTGGTACACTATGTGGTACCATATACAGTAGTGTTTTTTCGACCGCTATGTAGAAAACTGACAAATCATCACAGCAACGAATCCGCCATAACACACGGCAACAAGAGACAAGAGAATGCCTCCCGCGGTCCTCTGTGCCAACTGCCCGCGTCGTATCACCCAGGTACGCTCTGGCGCAAGCAAAGAGCGGGGTCTCGGCGACGGACGCAGCCACCGTTGAGGCCCAGCACAGCGCTGTCGATGGTAACCAGCCCGATTCCACGAGCCCGGTCTCATCGGCAACCACGGTGACCCAAAAGGAGCAAGAGGGTGACGCCAGCGTAAACGACAGCAGCACCAGCACCAGCACCAGTGTGGACAGTGCTGCTGGTGCCGCCGCGGAGGTGCAAGAAGAAGGGTATCTATCCGGAATCACCGGTTCTCTGTCCGGCTGGTTTTCGTAACAAACGAATGAAAAAAGCAGCAAAGCGTGTGCCGGCCTTGAAGTTGTGGGTTTGGTCGCACGGGTGCGGTGTGCGGAGGTTGGCTGCAAAGTTTTGTGTGACTTGACCTGATGTTGCTGTTTCCTACCTGTAGGCCGGAAGGTCCGGAAGGCGTTTGCTCGCGGCGTGCGTGTATAGCTTGGTTGTATTTTTGGGTAAGAAGGGGAGGGGTAGGAGGGGAGGGGCGACATTCACGCATAGACCCAAAACAGCCGTTCCGTTGATGTAAAGTAGTGTAGTACTTCGAAGTACTGTAGCTCAAAATGTTTTCTGCCTTGCCTTGTACGAGCTCCTTTTTGCGTTACACCAAAAACCAAGAGAAAGGAAAAATAAGAAAGACAAGCTTGCGTTCAAGGATTCTGCTGTCAACCATCGACTTCTTTCTGCAATTCTGTGACGTCATTCATTCCTTATCGGAGGTGCACGTCTGTTCAGATGAGAATACCCGCCGGTGTTGCACGAGACCCCCCCCCCCCCCCCCCCCCC